TTTTAAACAGTCAACATCTCAAGTAAATATTTCGTCTTCTGAAATTAAAACTTCAAAGGGTCTAGAGAGACATGTCTACATACATAAATAAAAGCATCATTCATTCATTACCTCCTTCAAATACTTAAGAGGAAAATGATTAGGTAATATAGATGCAAAATATAAGGTGTGGTCAGAACCCCACTGTGATATTTCTACTTTTCTCTAATAGGGGAGGAGTAGATAGGCAAGAACCCAAGAGGATAAGGAAGATGGATGTTTTCTGAAGATTTGATGCAGAACAGGGGTTATCTAAATAAATAACATGGTGGTCAATGTTTATTTATTCTCTGTCAAATGCTGCTGCTTCTCTAAAACATTAAAAAGTGTTTTTCTCCCTTAGTCTGTCATTTCTTAATGGCAAAAGTTAAATGCCTTCTCCTAAGTATGTTTAGCGACTCTAAGTCAGTGAACAGAAATGTGCCTTTAGAAGCTCAGCACTGATGCTGCCTGAAATACGTTACGTGCAGTTAGCAGGTTACATTTGTTTTTAAAGTTTAATAAAATCTAAAGAAAAGCTTTAAAATATGAGAAATCTATACTCCCCAAAACTGTTTGTATTTATACCCATCCTCCTTGCCAATGATTTGGAATATGGCAAAGCAGATAGTAGTAAATATTTTTAATACTTCATAAACACAAGAACAGATAGATGGATGAATGTGATAATTATAACACTGATTAGTGGCGAACATATTTTATAGAGAAGATTTTGCAATGTGATTGCTAAGTAATTTCCCAGTTGGAATAACTTGTATAGCTTACAAGAGTATTTCTGTATCTACAATACAAATATCTTTATGAAGATGTAGGAAGAGAACGTTCTAAAACACAAATTTGAACATACTGAGCTGCAGCTTACCATTATGGCATAAAATAAGGATCCAAAAGAAGAGATAACTTATGTACGCTGATGAAGTGGGGTGAACACCATGCCTTTAACATCAATCTTACAGTACTGAAAAGCAAAAACAATAAAACCCCAATATTAACATAAGGCTATTAAGAGAAAAAAATGAGATTACATATTTAATAATTAACAAGGAAAATTACTTGTCTTTTTAAGACATATATATTTTTAAGACATTTTTTAATAATGTGTAACAATAAAATTTATGTGCTACAACCTATCCACTCACTGCTGAAAAGCAGTTTTAACTAGGTAGGGCAAAACACATTTGCAAGTTACAATTATTACTCCCTTTCTTCAAAAATATTTAACATCCCCAGAGAGAAAAAAAGATTTTTTTAAAATCTCTTCTCTATCACCACTGTTGCTGTTCTCATTTTTCCTCTGAATTATTTTAATAGCCTGCCCACTGGGCTAGTTCACTACACAGCTGACTTTACAAATCACAGATATAATCATGTCTGCTGATAAAAAATCCTTACTAATAAAAGAGGGCACAAACAAATAGAAAAAAAAAAAATCCATGCTCCTGGATAGGAAGAATCAATATTGTGAAAATGGCCATATTGCCCTAAGTGCTTATAGATTCAATGCTATTACCATTAAGCTACCATTAACTTTCTTCACAAAACTAGAAAATAATACTTTAAATTTCATATGGAACCAAAAAAGAGCCTGTATTGCCAAGACAATCCTCAGCAAAAAGAACAAAACTGGAGGCATCACGCTGTCTGACTTCAAACTACACTACAAGGCTACAGTAACCAAAATAGCATGCTACTGGTACCAAAACAGATATATAGACCAATGGAACAGAACAGAGGCCTCAGAAATAACACCACATATCTACAACCATTTAATATTCAACAAACCTGACAAAAACAAGCAATGGGGAGAGGATTCCCTATTTAATAAACGGCGCTGGGAAAACCAGCTAGCCATACACAGAAAACAGAAATTGGACCCCTTCCCTATATCTTATACAAAAATTAACTCAAGATGGATTAAAGACTTACACATAAAACCTAAAACCATAAAAACCCGAGAAGAAAACCTAGGGAATACCATTCAGGACATAGGCATGGGCAAAGACTTCATGACTAAAACACCAAAAGCAACTGCAACAAAAGCCAAAATTGACAAATGGGATCTAATTAAACTAAAGAGCTTCTGCTCAGCAAAAAAAGCTATCATCAGAGTGGGAGAACATTTTTGCAATCTACCCTTCTGACAAAGGTCTGATATGCAGAATCTACAAGCAACTTAGAAGAAAAAACCAACCCCATCAAAAAGTGGGTGAAGGATATGAACAGACACTTCTCAAAAGATATTTATGAGGCCAACATATGAAAAAAACCTCATTATTACTGGTCATTAGAAAAATGCAAATCAAAACCACAATGAAATACCATCTCACGCCAGTTAGAATGGCGATCATTAAAAAGTCTAGAAACAACAGATGCTGGTGAGGCTGTGGAGAAATGGGAATACTTTTACACTGTTGTTGGGAGTGTAAATTAGTTCAATCATTGTGGAAGATGGTGTGGCGATGCCTCAAG